CACACCCCCCCACACACACACACACACCCACCCACACACACGACACATACACAGACATGGACAGACACACATACCATATGCACACAGACACAGACAGACAGACAAAAAGGCACCATACATACATACATACATACATACATACATACATACATACATACATACATATACAAACACACATGCAAACACAAAAAATGGCATGTTGCTATCAGTAAATATAATCTCTCTGTGCATATTAACTTAAGATTTCTTTAGTTTCTTTCAACAATATAGTTCTCATTATAAATATTAAAATTTTTATTAAAATTGCTGTCTGGTATTTTTATATTGTAAATGATGCTTTTTTTCAATTCAGAATATTATTGTGATCTTGAGTCCTGAGCTCTTTTTTTTTTTTATTTTTATTAATTCAAGTTAGGGAACAAGCTTGTTTCACATATAAGTCCCTTCTCGCTCTCAAAGTCCCTTCTTACACCAGGGAAAAATGCTAATCCACTTCCAGAGGCTCCCTGGAGTACAGAGGCCTCCTTATTGGCATCCATGTTCAGGGGGCTGGGTCAGTCTTGTACTGGCCTCCCTGACAGCATCTAGGGTTGATGTGCTCTCCCTTGTTCAGGCCAACTGTTCCTGTGGGTTTCTCCAACCTGGTACAGACCCCTTCCATCTTCATTCCTCCCTCTCTTCAACTAAATTCCCGATTTCAGCTCAGTGTATTTCTGTGGATGTCTGTCTCTGCTTCCATTAGCCACTGGATGAGGGCTCTAGGATGGCATAAAGAGTAGTCATCAAGAGTCCTGAGCTCTTTCTATATTTACTTAATCTGCTTCTACATAGTTAATATAATTTAAATTTACGACAGTTTTGTTCTTTGTTTTTTAAATGATGTCTTCTGTTTTCTTCATTTTATTATATGGATACATATCCTGAATACAGTGCTATATGGACATGATAAGCCTTCCTATCTCCTTGGCAGTGGGAAGCATTCAGTCTTTTGATATTAAGAAGTCAACGGTATGTAGGTTTTATCAAGTTGTCAGTTTCCTGTAGCCCTTGGTTGCTTTCCCATGCATGACTAGGTGTTAAATTTGGCCCAGTTTCTTTTCTGCCTATTCTGAGGTATTCTATGGGCATTCTTTCCTATTAATGTGGTGAGATGCAATTGATTTTTAATGCATTTCTGGATTAATTCCTGTTTGGTTCTGAGGCATCATCCCTTCTACATTTTATTGGATGTGCTCAGTACATTAAAATGTAGCAAAGGATTTTGGTGTCTGTTTACATAAGATTTCTATGGTTTTCTTTCCTGTGACATCTTTGTCTGGTACGGAGCAATGCTGGGGTCAGAGAATTAACTGAAGTGTTCCCTCTTCTAGTGGTATACTTGCTTTTGTTGTTGCTGTTGATGACACACATTTCATAATCAACATTTATTAGTTTATTTGGTTCCTTTGGAGTCCAGTAAACAACTCACATACAAAGTCTCATAATGTATTATACAACATCGGTACAAGAAAGGACCTTTTTCATGAGGAGGGCCTGTCACAGCAGCATACAGGCCACTCTTATGACAAACTATGTGAGTTTATGCAATCATTTCAAAGGTGTATAATGCAGTTTATGTTTTAACGTTAAGTAAAACCAGTAAACAAGATGTATTGGTCATTTCCCACAGTAGTTACATTGCTTCATTTACTCTGTTACATCATAAAAAGACACATTTCAACTGCTTCACATTTTTCTGATGACAAGTAGGTATGGGCTCCTGATTTAGCTCAGTATTTTACTGAATTAACAGTATCTACATTTAAAATGACTTCAGGAGCACTGTAATAAGCATAAGTATAAATATGTTCAAACAATCCTAAATCTCAACACTTAGATATTGAAAATAAATTATTTAGCATTTACTAGGATCAAAAACTCCAAATATAATTCCTAATACAAAATATACATCTATATGCCTCAAAAACGTGCTAAAAGCAATCTATATTTTTGCTAACATTTTCAGAATTATACATTCTTTCAAATCAGTCATTTATTATTGGTACAGTAATATTTTAAATAAATACTATTTTATTTATTTATTTTTAATTTAATTTAATTTAATCATTAATTATTTAATAATAATAAAATAATTTATTTATAATTTTTAATTTTGGGGGTTTTGTCTGAATGTATGTCTGTGTGCCATATCCAGGCATTGCCTCGGAGGCCAGAAGAGGGTGTTAGATCTACCAGAACTAGAGACTTACAGATAGGAAATGAACTGCCATGTGGGTGCTGGGAATTGAACCCTGGTCCTCTGGAAGAGCAGCCAGTGCTGTTAACCACTTCGCTCTTTCTCTAGCCCCAATACTGAATATTTTAAATATTTAGCATATTATGAAATGATAATTGTTGTTCAGAAAATATTTCAGCCAAAACAAACATTCTAATAGCAAAGGAATATAGCAAATATTTTACAGAATATTGTTGTACTAAAAATATTAATTTATAACTTCTTCATCTCAAAAACTATCCAACTAATTCTAAGTAATCTCCTTTAACCTCTTATACTAATTAGATTAAGGAAAGACAGAAGAACCAAAGGTCAAAGACCTAATTCCTGAGGCTGTGACTATGATGCTCAGAGGTGGTTATTTCATCATCTTTGGGAGACAAACCCCTTGTTACTGTTGATTGCTACTTGAAGTGCTTCTTCCATTCTTTCCATTGTAGAATATTTCGGCAGGTCTAGAATACTGTGACATGTCAATGATCTCGGGTTATCATCTTCAGTTAAAGTTTGAGGGCAACGAAATCTTATTCCTTCATACTGTAGGCCTTTTACATGAAGCCTATCAGATCCTGTAAGAAATACTAGGAAGGAATACAATTTTGTTAAGATATTTCATCTAAAAAACCCTCAAGATAAGAAGAAATTAATGGTCATATTCAATAAATATTGAGTACACTTTTTTGTTGTTCAGATAAAACTACACAGGGGCAGGTAAGACCTAGAAAAGTCAGACATTTGGGTTTGTCCTCTACAAATTCATGCCATTAATAATATATGTGCCCGGGGGAGGTGAGAAGATGAGGGAACAGTATGGTCAAGTTGGGGGAAGGGTAGAGCAGGGGAGCAATGAAGTATCTTGATAGAGGGAGCCATTATGGGGTTAGGGAGAAACCTGGTGCCAGGGAAATTCCGAGAAATCCACAAGGATGACCCTAGCTAGACGCCTAGCAATAGTGGGGAAGGTGCCTGAACTGGCCTTCCCCCGTGATCAGTATTGTGACTGCCCTAATTGTCATCATAGAACCTACATCCAGTAACTGACGGAAGCAGATGCAGAGATTCACAGCTAAGCACCAGGCTGAATCCCAGGAGTCCAGTTGAAGAGAGGGAGGAGGGATAATATGAACAAGGGGGAGTCAAGAGCATGACAGGGAAACCCTCAGAGACAGCTGACCTGAACTCCTGGGAACTCATATGACTCAAGCCTGACAGATAGGGAGCTAGGCCCTCTGTACGTGGGTGACAGCTGTGTAGCTTGGTCTGTTTGAGGAGCCCCTGACAGAGGGACCAGGATTGATCCCTGGTGCATGAGCTGGCTTTTTGGAGTCCACTTCCTATGGTGTGATGCGTTGCTCGGCCTTGATGCAGGGGAGGGGCTTGGTCCTGCCTCCACTTAATGTGTCAGGTTTTGTTCGCTCCCCATGGGAGGCCTTACTCTTTCTGAGGAGTTGTTGGGGTGGGATGGGGGACTGGGAGGAGGGGAGGGAAGGGGAGCTGTGGTTGGTATGTAAAATGAATTTTAAATATTTAAAATTTTAAAAAGTTACAATACTTACGGAGAAATTTTTTCTTTTCATCCAAAGTTAATTTATGGAAAGCCTTCCAAAAGAGTAGAATAGTTGGATGTGATTTGTGGTATTCTCTTTCATACAGTGAATTCTTGAGAACAAGAGAAAAGAGAGAGAGAGAGAAAGTTTTAGGAAGCATATTTATGAATAATTTGGAAAAGTTAGAGGGTACTTTTAGGTTTTCACTTACATTTTCAAATTGTTTCCAGTCACAATTATCATTTCCAGTTATCGCTGTCTTTAGTTCTTCGGGCTGGAACTGCCTAATTATATCCAAGTTACACACCGTGTAAAAACCCCTATAAAATTCCTTATAAATCGTCTTTACAGAGGTGTTAAAAATGTAATCAACACACTTAGAAACATAGTCTTGCCTTGAGGAAAAAAAAACAGTGACATACTTTATCAGTGACTACAATATCATCCATTTTGCTCTTTTTACTCTATTGAAAAAAAAAAGTATATTTCTTTTCTGTAATCCACAAAGTCTATACAACACAGGGAGATGAAAACCTGGCCAACTAGAAGAAAGGTCCTTTGAGAATATAAGAGAAGGATTCAGACTTTAGAGTGTTCTCATTCTCCTTATTGCAAGGAGCAATTGTAACTCCAATCTGAACCTAAGGGATATGTCCCATTAAAATGGGAAATGCACTTAATACATCCAACCTACTAAAAATTATAGCTTAGCCGTTTTGCTCACTGCCACTCTCCACCATCATAAGGAAGTATTGTACTTCACATGACTAGCTTAGAAAATCGTCAAAAGCTCAGAATTTGTGGAGTATGATGACTATGGAATGCCATGTGATTTCCCATCACAGGAAACTAAGGGTGGACAGAAGTCCAACCATCTAACCCTTGCTTCTTTGCCTCTATACATTCCTCTCTGCCTCTCTCATCTCACTCCCTCTTGTTTGTAGGGAACCATGCAGTGTAAACATGCTCTTTGGCATGGCATGCTTCCTCTTTACCTGGAAACTTCTACCCAGTCATCAGGTTTTTATACATAAAGTGATGCCCGGAGGGCTGGTGCCTTTGTTCCTCCCCCATCTCTCTTCTAGCAGAACTAATTTGTGGAAATAATTTCTGAAAGATCTACCACACTTTCCACAGTATGATAGATTTCCTGGTGGCAAGTGACATAGTGTGGATGTGGTTTGACTCTGTCCTGCAAGGATTTATGTTTCATTTATTTCATTTATTTGTTTATTTCATTATTATGTTATTTCATTATTATATTTCATTTATTTCTCCAATTGTTGGCTATTAAGATAGGAACTTGATCTGACTGTACTGTTTATGGTGGGGCTTTTGGAGAGTGGTTTGAGTTACACAAAGTCACCACATAAACCCCAGAATTCAACTCTGGTAGCCTCATAAGGCTCTAGAGAAAGACCAAAAGACACACATGTCCGTGCTCCTTATGTCCTGTCAGGTGCTGCCCTCTCAAATTCAAGATGCCACCAGCGAGGAGGCCACTGACAGACGTGGTCCTTGAATTTCCAGAACTGTGAGATAAATAGAACTCTGTAATGTTACCCAGGGTTCGATATTTCATTATAGTAATGAAAAGTAGGCTAAGTAGGATTGCTACTAGAAACATGGACACATACACACCCCTTCCACCCCTTTAAACTGCCCTTGTAAACTAACCCGTTTAAACCACCTCCTTCTGTCCTTCCCATAACCGGTCAGACGCTGCTAAACATTTGACAACCAGTTTTCCAAAAGGAAGGTGAAGGAGGGTGAAATGTAAGGAAACAGAGGAAGAGAAATACAGAGAGAGGGTGTGGGGGGAGGGGAACAGAAAAGACAGGGAGGAAGACCTCATTTGTAACATCTGCCAATTTTTCTAAATATTCCTGCCATGGCCGACTTCAAGTTACTAAAGTTTAAATAATAACCTTTGAATATTGATGAAAAATTTACAGTCAGATCCCACAAGTTGGTACTAGTTGGTTTATTTGATACGTTACATGGTGGTCTGTCTATTCGGGTGTGAGCTTTCTACGCATTCTGATAAGTTACACATTTTGTCTTTTTCTCAGCTTTCTCGCTAGTATCTGGAAGACAGTTTAGCATAGAATAGGGACTAAAACTATCTTAGGTGACAGAAAGATTTCTTCTCTATTCATTTCTTCTCTTCTACTTATTTAGCATTCTAAAAGACAAGGAATTAAAATGAACATCTGAGACGCTCAAATATATTTTAAATTGTATTATTACAAACATTTTATGCCTACTCAAAATAGGTATTTTTGGTCTCAAATCTTACTTGTTGGTTTCGTTCACAGGTACAGAGATCCCATTTGGAATCAAGTTAACATCTTTTTTATCCCAGTGTATCTGTAATCAAAATGCAATTGACTGATAAACATGAACATAAGTCTGTGATTATTGTCAGTACATTTTCCCTATAAAATTTAAAATGACCTGAGATAGAAAATAATTTTCTAGTTCAGTCCTTTGTTTGTTGTGACAGTGTCTATTTATGTAGCCCAAGCTGGCCTCAAACTTGTTGTTGTCTTGCCCATACCTCCTTCTCCGACTCACTACCACACTCAACACACACACACACACACACACACACACACACACACACACACACACATTGAATTTTTTGAGATTTTTGAGAAAGAGTCTTTCTCTATGTACTCCTGGCTGACCTGGAACTTGCTATATAGACCAGGGTGGCCTTGAACACACAGAGATCCCTTGCCTCTGCCTCTCGGCTGCTGGGATTAAAGGCAGGAGTTATCATGCCCTGCCATATAAAAAGTTTAAACCCTCCTTAATACATGTTGATGTTTATACTTCAAGCATAAATAACCCTGTTTAGTTGAGGATATTGTTTGCATTAAATGAATGTTTACTATATCTGTATTTATGAGTCTATAGGTATAAGATATACAAATGAAGACCAGGTTGGAGAAAAATTTCACAGAAATAAATTATCTTTAAAAATGTGGATATTCCATATTAAAGGTTCTGCAATAAACTTGTTTTTAGAATAAAAGACAATGGCTAAGGGCATATCTTGGTGGTATAATACTTTCTTGGTATGGGTTCACTCTCTAGCAACTCCCCACCAGGAAAACAGATTAAAGTTAACTTATATCTAGTTTTTTCTGTTACTCACGGAAAAATGTATGTGAAGTTCTTCAACGTCACCAGCCTCACAGTTTAGAACTTCTTGCAAACTCCTATTGAAAATTTTAATTTAAAATTACACATTTTATATTATAAAATTTCAAAGTAATGATCATTCAATGGGGAAGAAATAAGTAATATAGCCATGCACAAAATTCAGTGTAAATTTCCTCTCCTACTCTTTATTTACACTCATCTTCCTAGAATTATCTCAATTTAAAATTTGATATGTAAATCTACGTTGTTAACACTGCTGCATATTGTGTAAATGATTACAGAGGAGCCCTTACCTCTAGAGTGAGGAGGCTTTATTTTGCAAAGTCTGGAGATGTCTTTGTTGCCAGTTAAGTGTTGCCATGTGGTGGCCCCGGACTCTATTAAACACATCACAATGCCCAGAGCCACCTCCCGCAAAGAGAATTCAAGGAACCACATGCCTGAGGTTGGATGCTCTTGTCTAAGAGGGAGGAGGTCCAGGCTTGGATCCCCACCCAACACATTCAAAGCAGAAAAGCTCAAAATGTCAAAATTCCCAATGTTGAGAAACTCTGCTTTAAGAAAAATGTACCTATAATAGTCCATGAAAAAGAATCACCTTCCCCAATTTTTTGTCAGCACTTTAAGAAACACTTGTTGGCAGGAAAAGGACATTTTATGTACATTCGCTCAGTTATTAGTGAACCTGAGCATGCTTTCATTTTTGATATGATATATGTGTATATATGTATATGTATTTATATATGTGTGTGTATACACATATATGTACTTATGACACTATATCTATAAACCATATGTATATGCACTTATGGCACTAAATCAATTAATAAACCACATATAACACGTAAAGCACTATATTTAGAAACCACATCTACCTATATAAACTTATAGCACTATACCCATCTATAAATCATATCTCTGTATATACACATATACTAATAGCCTTTTATTCATTTGTAAACCACATCTATTTATATAATACACTTATCTCACTACATTTATAAATCATATCTCCATATATATGCATACTTATAGTACTGAATCTATTTATAAACCACTTCTATGAATATGGACTTATGGCACTGCACCTATTCATAAAACATACCTATCTATACATATGTTCACTTATAGCACTTTATTTATAAACTACATGTATATATGTATATGAACTTACATAGCACTGTATCTATTTATAAACCACATACGTCTGCATTTGTACACTAATTTATTTATAAAGCATCTCTATATATGCATGTGCACTTTCAGCACTGTATGTATTTATAGACTAAAAAGGATGACCAATGCTCATCCTGAGAACTCCCCTAGGTACTTTCCACCTTGGTAAAGAGCTCAGGTCCAAGCTCTTTTTTATTGTGTTAGTTAGTTAATGATCAGAGGAACATCTGGCTTTTCTTCATTTTTGAAGGCTTACTCTATTGCAAGTCATGCTAAAGGAAGGCCATCTAATGGGCACATAACATTAAAATTGAAGACTTTGCCTGTGTCTCTTAGCGTGTGACATTATTTATGCTTAAACAGCTGAGCCTTAATACTGTTCTTAACAAGCAAACACATGCACTTACTTCCCCAAGGGAAAACTCAGTTCTTTTAAATCTTCCAGAGATGGCTTCTGTTTCAGAAGTTTTTTATATAAAGCCAGTGGGAAAGGAAGGTTGACAACCTTTACATTGGATAGGGAGAGTCCACACAAGACCCCAAAGAAGAAATAGTCCTTGTTCTCAAACTTAGGCTGGAAAATAAAATGGAAAAAAATACCCAGTCTATTATAAACAATCAGTTATACAAAGGTACCATTAGACAAGTAAAGAACAAATTTTGGCTCCCTTTTCTAATTAGCATCACAAGTTAGACACAAACTGGGTTTCAAAAGAATAAACATGTCAGACTCTTTTTAAAGTTATAATAAAATTTCAATTTCTTCTATAATGGTCTTTCTGTTGTTTATGTTTGTTTGTTTGAGGCATACAGGACGATCTCAAACCTCACTGAATAGCTAAGGGTGACACGGAACTCCTCTTTCCTGAATCTCCCAAATGTGGGATTACAGCCATGTGCCACCCTGTGCAGCTTCTTGCAAAATTTTTAATATAAATTAACAACACAGAACATTAAATGAATGAATTTTTGTTACTGATAGTGTATCTGAAATGTATAAACAAATGCTCAGGTACAATTACAAAGTTTTCGTGTGGAATTTTAAGGTCCTTGCCTTCCAATTTATGGAGAAGAGCAACCCCGAGGAAGGAATGTGGCTCTGTATTGATGCTTCAGCTTAGCAGAACGAAGGCCAGATAAGTGTTTCATGAATGATGTCTTCACTTAACAATGCAGCCCCACATGGATGTTTACCATTGAAAAAGTTCTCATGGGACCCCTTTCTCACTCTCGCATCCTGTCTTACTATGTTACCTCCCAGCCTGCAGAAGACCCTGTCATGATGCTTGTGCCAGGAGTCCTCGTGAGAGCTAATGAATGTCAGTGCCAGCCCTTGGAGTTCTAGAACTCTATTTAACAAAATACTCAGGTGGTTCATTAAAGTGATGACAACAAGAACAGACTAATAGAAGCTGCCTTTATTTTTCTCCTCTGCCTCTTGTAGTCCTGGTTAGAAAAACAAAACAAAAGTTCCTAGGTCCAAACTGCAGCCCAGGGGAACAAGTGTTGCTGGTATGAAATTCTAAGGCTCCTACTCCAGTGATAGTCTTGCTGTTATCAGGTTCTTGAGGGTCAGGAACTTGCAAAATGTTCATCCTCCTCACTCATCATGCTGTATTTACTCCTCAGATGGAATTTGAAATGATTTAAAAGCAGAGTACAGTCTGCAAAGGCCTCTCCTAACATAGTTTTCTATCCCATAATTTGTAACATGTACTCTGGTTCAACACTGCTATTTTTTCAAGCCATATCCATTTTTAAATTAGGGGTATGTGTGTGTCTGTTTTCTATTGAGCACAACTATATGAATATGCTTATAAGTGAGGGATTTGTTGAGTGTGGTGCACTCCTCTAATCCAAGCACTTGGATGATGGAGGCAGAGGAGGATAGTGAGTTCAAGGCTAGCTTGGCATACATAGTAAGACACTATGCAATACAATGTATAAAAAGATAAAAGTGAAAAACATTTCAGTAATGTTGACCAACTCTTTAGAATTAAGTTACCTATAGTATTCTATCAATAGTTCCTACTAATTTGAAACATTCTATACTATAACACTCAAAATTAAGGACACATCCCAAATAACTACTCCTTAGAGATTATGTAAACAATTTTACGATAGCCATACAATAGAATATCACTCCATAGTTTTTTTTTTTTAAAAGGGACTGAACTATGAACACATGCCATGACATGAATGCATCTCGGAATAATTCAATGAAAAAAGACAGATATTAAATTTGACCATATTTAATTTCATTTATATAAAATGATAGGACCAGACTATGGTTCACTCTACAGGGACAAGAAGCAGCTGAGTGGTTTCTTAGGAAAGATGGAGGAAAGGAGTGTGAGAAAGCCTTTCGTGATGGTGTACATGCTTATTATTTTGACTGAGGTGATCATTTCACTGGTGTATATGTATATCATCAAATTGGGCATTTTCCATGTTATCTACTGTATTTTGATGATATCTCATTAATGCTAAAGTTTAATGTGTATAGGAATCACTGAGGGGATTTTATATGTGTTATGAGTTCATATTCTGTAGATCTTGAGTAGGACCAGAGTGATTGTTTTTCCTGGGCTCCCCAGTAACAGTTCAAGCTGTTCTCAAGCTTTGTCCTTTCCACATGAGCTTTGAACACTGGGGTTAGGTACGCAATACTACACCTGGATAAGTCTGGTTTTCTACATGCTGCCAGATCAGGCCATGGCACAGCTCCTGCCCCATGGGGGATGTGGTGCTACTTAAATAGAGAAGGAAGGTTGTAGAGTCCTAATTTTACACTGTCATCTATGGTTTGCATATTGCAGCATTTAATATGAGAAAGACATAACTTACATTGACTGGAAACCACATACAGGAACTCTTTTCAGGATACATGAACATTTCATATTTGGGGGCTGTCATCTCTTCAAATATACAGTGGAAGAACTCTGAAGTCACCCCTCCAGCCTCAAAACAAATTTCTTTAATAAATTCAACCTACAGAAAGAAAATTTATCTCAAAGCTCTTATTTAAAACGCAGCTCTTTGCCCTTTATGGAAAAGTCTTGGGCCTGCCCTCACCATCCTAGAATTCTTTAGAACTGCCACACCCACACATGGCTTTCCCTTCTCACACTCTATATTCCCTCAGTTTGCTGCCAAGCAGTAAGTTCCAGGAGCCCACTGATTCTTAGGTTGTTAAGACAGCGAATGCATGCGTCCTTTAGATTGGCGCACTAGCTCCAGAAGAAGGAGCAATGTCTTAATATAAATTTTGGTACACTTCAAACCCCTGAGCCAGGGCATTTTCCAGTTATTTAACCTTGCTGTCTGTCTTTATATTTTCTTTTAGACTGTGAAACCTTGTCTCTAATGAATAGCTTTTGGGTTTCTCCAGCCTCTACTTCCAGTAAGCAGCTCTCCCAATGAGTGTGGGCTAAGTACCCTTGCAGTAAGCATTGGGGAAACACATACATTAACCAGTTCCTCTTTTTAAACAGTTTTCTCTGCTTCTGGATTTCATGGCCCGGTACTGACTTTATTTTATCCTTTGTGCTCTGACAATTCCTTTCCTACTTCCTTTTCTGGATAATTTTGCTTCTTTCGTTTATTTATCTGATTTCTGGTGCTGGGGATTGAACTGGGCCCTTTCACATGCTAGGCAAGCACTCTACCACTCCCAGGCCTCGTATTTTGAATATGAGCATCCTTAAGCTTCTTTTTCTCCTCTGTCTGAAAGAGCTTTCCTGCTGATCTTTGATCAAACTCTTTGGCCTGCTCAGGACTCACAGTGAGGGCAAGGATTAGGAAGGACTGTCTTGTCATACATGGTCTATTTTGTCTCCGTCTTGAAGTTAACATCTTCCCTTTTAAGGACAGTCATTTTCTATAGAGGGAAGAATGTTCTATGGAGATTCCTCACAAAGTATAAGAAAACTAGATATAAAGGGAGTCTGGTCTCTAAAATAAAATTGTTTCTCTGTTTTCGATTTAAATCACACGTTGAGAAATCACCCTCTATGCTCCAGGATCTGTTTTCTTTGGGAGATTACCACTTATCCTCTCAAGTGGTATCAGGAAAATCTACCCCCTTTGGGGTTCCAGGTTCCAGCTCTTACTCACAGCACCAGTCAATGTCCTATTAAGCATGTAATATGGCAAATGACCTGAAGTGCCACACAGTACATACTCTAGAGGCATCCACAAGGGTTTCAATAAAGAGTGGCTATAATTGAAACCTATACTGTAGAAAGTCTAGACACACAATATGGGAGAAATTGCCTATTACACTTGCTACCTATTGAGTGCATGGACAGTCCCAGTTCTTTATCATTTCTTATTGGATTTTTTTGCATGTGATTTTGCAATTTCTCCCATTAAGAGGAGAAATTAATATTTTTGCAGCCTTTGGCTTGGGTTCATTCATGACTCTTCTTTGGCTTAAACAATATTTAATGATCGCTAGCTTGCATCTTCAGTAGTACTATGAGAAGAACATGCTTGATGGTCCCAAGAGGAGGAAGGACATACAAAGTATAACTCAATGTCCTCAGCTGGTATGGACTAAGCTAGCTATGCTTAGTGCAGCTAATCCCTATCTGACTTTCAGCTATGTAAACAAACTCGAACAAAAGTCCATATGGCTGGGGATGTAGCTCAGTGGTAAAGCACTTGCTTAGCATGTGTGGAAACTGTGGTTTTATTCTTAGCATCATACTAACAAAAACATATTCATAAAATAAGCTACTCAGAAGTTCAGCTGGACTAGAAAATTTGTAAATTTAAGACATTCAGTACTGGTATGATTTACTATAATCATCAATAAGTGAGTTAATCTGCAACTTAATACATAATTAAGCTTTCCATTCCCTTAAGAGAAATGGGGACTTCTGGGAACCTTAAGACCTTAATCACCATGGTTGAGAAAGCAGCTTCTTAATTAATTTTTGATTTTTGATTTGAATTAGAAACAGGATTGTTTTACATGACAATCCCAGTTCCCTTCTCCCTCCCATCCTCGCTTACCACCCCACCAACTAAAACCCTACCTATCCCATATCCTTTCTGCTCCCCCCGGATGGTGAGGCCTTCCATAGGGGGTCATCAGA